ACCCAAATCAACACTTATCAACTCGAAATAATTGACACTGAAAAACCTACACTATTTCACACCACAGAATTTGCTGTGTATGGTCGTTTTTGGATGCTCTGCTATGTCCTTTACTTCCAATCACATTCTGTCTCCTTATGTTTGACCCATGCCTAGGAAGACAGACTCCAGGTCCCCAACCTACCAAATTATATGGAGATTGCACTGAATAGGGGGCCTCAGCCATGGTCTCGTATACAAAGGGACAACATATAAGGTGGAGCCATTAACGGAAGCAGATTTGTCGAGGCCAAGCACATCATGAATAAAAGATCTCAGCGGTTTATAATGAGGGTGTATTGTATTGAGCTGGCCTTGATCTTATGAAAGCCCTAAAAAAGATAAGGAAGGTCTCTAGTCCATATACCAGAACCTCATTCAGGAGATCGGTACTTCAGCTGTCACTGTGACCTCTACATATGTCACATTGAGTTGCCAGTGCAAATACATTTAGGGGTATTTGTGTGGCAATGTGTTGCTAAATGTTAATGACTGTGGCTACAGATTAAAACAGATGGAATAGGAATATAATGAGTCCTTTATCTAACACAACCTGTTTACAGTAAGCATGTGAGAGGCAGATGGGTTCATAGTCCATGTCCACACTGTGTGTACCACTCAGGTATTTTCATATCTGCTCCAATAAACACTGCAGGTGATAACTCTGCATAATTAATATAATTTAATTATAATCCATACCTCTCCACATTTTGCTCACTAACTTCTTTGTGATTGCAAGCTAAAGCAGTTTTAACACCAACAGCACAAATAGACAGTGACATAAAAAGTATGACTTCTATAGATACAATTTCAAAAATAAATGAATAAAGTAACTCCAATTATAAATTACCGGTATACATATGAAAAGATAAACACATGAAACACCACAAGAGATGCATGATGATCCTTGATGAATAACTTATAAAAGAGAAATATTTCCCTTGGAGGCAGAAGCTTCAGACAAACTGAAAACAGCCCAATATTTAGCATAAAATTGAATTTCACTAAACTGACTCATCTAACACTTACAGGAACTGACAAATATTCAGAGAAAACTTCTGGCAAAACCAAATAAGAAAAAACAAGGCAAATGTCTCTTCAATGCAATGCTTCACTAAACACCTAAGACTGGAGCAGTGTCTAGTCTGCTCTCCTCCGCCTGCTACTACTCTTTAACTGTCTCTGGACACTGGGATGTCTCTATCAAAGCTGCCCAGCCAAGATGTCTGAGGTTTCAGAATAATCCAGTTTTTCCTTTAAACTGTGGATGTAGCCCTGAGTCCTGAGTCAGAACTGCACTAAAGACTGGTTTAGTCAAAATGAAGGGCCATACCCACAACACAACACAACAATTGAGATAAACAAATTATTCTAAAAACGCATACCATCTAAAACCAGCAAGGAAGCTTTTAGTACCTGTACACCTCTTTTTTAAATTACCACATTTCCTCCATTATGAGCAAAATAAAAAACACAAACTATGTGCATGTGCACACTAATAGTTACATATGCTGTTACCAAGGCACACATTGGCTCGCTCTACCCAAACTCATTTCATGATGAGCTTGCCGCGGGCAATACTGCTCGATTTCGGCAATCATAATAACAGTCCTGGGAACCAAAGCAGGCATTAAGGGTTTTTGAGAGCTTTGTTTTTCCAAACAGGAATATCTCTGCTGAGCTCATAAAGCTGACTTGACAGGCCAAGGGAAAACTGCCAGCGTAAATTTAAGAATTGCACCATCTTAAACTTGGGTACTTGCTTCTTCTTCTTTAAACAGACATCCAACAAGATATACAGGAATCAAAATGTTCAGGCAGAAGCGGCCACAGGGCTCTTATTCCCACTGGGGTTTGGCATGGCGCACCATGGCTTGGCAAGGCTAGGTACAGAGGTGGGATCAGGACCTCACCCACTGGGAGGCCTGCGTAGAGCTAATTGCTATCCCCATGCGGCAAACCTGACCTCACGCAGCAGCACGCGCGTAGTAAGATCCAGAGGGATACTAAGACATGCAAAATGGTAAAGAGAGAAGAAAGTGAAGAAACAGAGAAAGGTAGAACATGAGGCTGTAGTCTAATTTAAATGATCATTTTCTGCCTCTGTGCTGTGTACAAAGGGCGGAAGTAGTATTTTGCTTCAATTTTAAACAATCATTTTATTTGAAGACACATACAAAGACAAATATTGTGATGATTGTTCTGAAAAAGTAAATACACCTATGCGAAATACCGGTCTCTTAAAATCAAGACAGAGTATTGTGCATGAAAATAACAATTTGTACCGTTACCTAAAGATTAATCCAAGATTGGCAAGAAATCTCTTAATCCACATTACATTTTAAGACTATTACACCCCTGATAAAGATTAGGTAAACAGGTTCCCATGCTACATGCTTTAATACATGGCTGAGAAAGGATTAGCTAAAAAGCACTCGAGAGGAAAAATCTGACCCATTGTGAATACTAAGAGCATTTAACCCCCTGTCCTCACACAGCTTGACCCTTTTCAGCACACCACTTGTCACACTGGAAAACCACTTAAATACAGCACCATGGTGTAATATATGAATATTGTCATACTAAAACTCTTTTAGGAATATTTGTTCCAAATGAATGATCATGAGTGAAACCCCTTCATTGAAGATAAAAGTGAGTACATTTCATTGATGTTTCAAATTAAACATCAATGACATGTTCTCCTATACAGTAAGCCCAGCCAAAAGATCATTAGTGGGCCAAGAAATTAATCGAATGTGGGGGTTGAAAGACCAATTCTGAATGGCATCAAGGTGAAGACCTGTTTCATCTGTGTTGTTTGATGAGAGATTGGATCTCAAAAAGACATGACAAAACTTAATGATGCGAGAAGATAACTGGACCCAAGTCAATTGTGCTGTTGATTAAAAAAAAAAAAAATCAACAAAGCCCAACTGCATCCAACAAGTTAACGTCTTGAGAGCTGGTGATTGTTTTGATCAGATAAAACAGTATTATTTCACTTTATCCTTCACTTAAACACACAATCTCAGAAAATACAGTGGAATATATTTTCCCCTGATCATCTACTTACATATATGACTGGTCAATTATAATACAAGAGATCATTTAAAATGTGCCAAAAGACACAGGGGGAATATACAGATCTATGTGCAGTGAAAAGTGGTTGTGTACAAATAGAAACATACATACTCACCTGCTCATTCAGAGAGAGTCAAAACCCCAAAGGACCCTGCATATCTATTATTCTCTACCCACGCTCCTGACTTCAGGCCTCCCACTAAGAGATGGCAGACCTTACTGTTCTAACAACAACTGAAAAGCAAAATGATCATCTCAATTCTTGCAACTTGCAAAGAAAGAGGAGCAGAGGGAGAAATAATAACAGAGAGCTGTCATTTATACCTGTTCTTCTTTTGCTCATCATGAAAACTGCGAGTCATCTTTAAAGCTCCTCGCAGACTGTGAAGGAGCTTTCGGCAAGATGCCAATTTGACTGTGATAAATATGTAGCAAACAGCATTCAAGTCATAAAATATTTCATGTTCAGAAATATCCTGCACGGCTTCTTACATTAAAAAAGGAATATATGGGTATGCGTGGAACACTTGAATGATCCAGAAGTATCATTTGCACATGGGTCCTTGTAAAAACAAAAAAAAAGATACAAAACAATATAATAAGGACCGCAGCTGCATCGAGTGACACAAATCTTAATTTCCTGTCTTAATCTGTAATGTCTATTTTAGCCTGAGTTGTTTTGTCCCTGTTCTGTAGCCCAGCTGTGTATTTCATAATAGAGGATTCCGTGAGCGTCCGTACTGTGTAATAATGAAAAACGCCCCACGCTGCAAGAGGAAATAGAAGATTTCATAATCCATCTGAGGCCTTGGCCCTGGTTGCCGGTCCATGGAGAGAGTCTCATTAAAACTTCTCATTAGCGACACACTGAGCTTCTGTAATGACTAAATGCATATACAAATCACCTCAGACATGAAAGGAGGGACAACAACAACGCACCCAGGCTGAATCCCTGTGCTGCCAAGTCCTCTGATAAAACCATTTGTACTTGGTAAATTGAACAGTATTGTGAAGAATGGATACCCCATTACATTCTGTAACTCACCTACTCAAAATACTGTGCACTAAACCTCGAGACCTAATCAACTGTTTAACCAAATATACTTTCTAAAAGGGGGACTCCAAACAATACACATTTGATCTGCATCTCTTGTGGAAAGCCGTCATAAATCAAATCAATGGGCCCTTTCATCTACTGCACTGTAAATGTGTTCTGTTCATTTGAATATATGAATTCTTAAAAGGGCTGTAATGGTCACACTTACGGTGTAATCTCAGACCCTTTCAGTGTGATGAGTGGCATGGTGTCATGATTGCTTGTGCTTGGTGCAGAGGTGGTGAGATTGTGTGGCTGAAGGCTTTTTTTGACCTGACATGCAATCATATTTTTTATTACCCGCCAGTCACATAGTAAGGACTGAAATGAGTGGGCCAAGCAGCATGCTTCTATGAGAAGGACAAATAAAAGTCAGCAAACAGTGCAGCACATAACTCCTCCTGGGAAACCTGTTTTTTAAAAGGACGTGTTAACAATATACATTTCGCCACTGTCATGTGTAGCTTTGCAGTTTAATAAAGCTATGATTTTTTAGATGTATATATTCCCAGAGGTCAGGAACATGCACCACACATCTGATGAGCAGTAACAGCAAAACAAATTGTGCAGTCCAAGCTCTGAAAGGGTAACAAACTCAGATATAAAATAAAGCCATCACACTCTGAATTGACGTGAAAAAGATAAAGAGGGCTCTATGTATGTGTTTGGACACATGTTTGCACAGCCTGCATGACTGCTTGCCTCTGCAAATGAAACTTTGTATGAACACTGTGATCAGTTCACCCCCTTGGCTGGAGTGGAGCATGGCTATGAATATCAATGTTTAATTCATCGGTAGCTGCTCCCTCTGACGGCCCACCTGACACAAAAGAGAATCAGCTTTCTGTTTGTGTCAGCGTTTACCAAGAAGCACTGCACGGCTCAAAAGAGTGCGCCCAGACTCCTTACCTCAAGGGCATTGACAGACTTTGTGTTGTCTAAGTTGTATGAAGGTGAATACACTGAATGTGTGTGGTAGTTGTCTAAGGAAACAAAATATTTCTAAGCTTACAGGTATCAGAAATCAAATATTAACATCTACATGTCATGTTTTGGCAAAATTACATGACAAGTCTCAGAACAATCTCAGATCAAACGTTAAGGCTGAGCTTTATGCTGATATAATATCGATATTGTCATTTGGGTCTAGTGATCATCTTGGATTTGGTCAATTTGGCATTTTACTGGTTTTGTAGTGATGTCATTTTTCAAACATCAAACAGTTTTTACCAAGCTTGTCTTTCTCATCATGTTCACATTACTGATGTTTATGTATCGAAAAATATCGAGGTGTAGATATGTTGTGAAACAACATTCGCCAAACCCTAGCATGTTGATTCTAAGGTATATAGGCAAGGCAAGTTTATTTATATAGCACCTTTCAACACAAGGCAATTCAAAGTGCTTTACAAAAATGAAAGACATCAAGAGCATTAAGAAACATATTATAAAAGGATATCTAGAAACACTAATTTAAAAGGAATGATATAAAATGACATTTAAAAGCACTCATTTAAAAGCAAAGATAAAAAGCAAAGATAGTCAAAAATCTTTATATGATTTTCTCCAAACTGTAGACTACCCTAATTAACATCGGATGGTATTGTATGTCATCTAACAAACACTCATTTGCAACACACAGCTATAAATGGTTCTACTCAAGCCGTGTACAGAGTTTGAAAAAGGATGATTTCTCATTGAATTTATTCAGGCAGTGAAGAATAGCATGCAGCTTTCTAGTATCAAACTAATCAGGGTTTTTATTGATCGCCTGTGTAATCATCAGCCTCTATTCATGTGTCTGCCAGTGTTACTTCAATATTGAGCAATTATTCTCGACAATCACAGGTTGAGCCACACCACATCTGGCGATGATATGATCACAGGTGCTGAGGAAAATGACTCACTTCCTGCTGTTATTAACAACATTTCTATTGTCCATATATGGTACAATATAATTGTTTTTTTGTCTTGAACCTCATTTTAAACCCACCTATAGAAAAAGCAAGAAGGTTGGCCCTTAGTTTATGCTACTCAATCTTTGGGTAGGCATACTACATAATCAATGGTGTGATTAAATTAATTAACATTCATGTGCTCCGGAAATAATTGTTATGTAACTGCAAACACAAGAACATTCAATCACTTCACTAATAATGACTAAGACAATTGGTATTTTGACAATCTGGTCCATCAAATCCAGTTCCACTGCACACTCACCTCTTGTCTTAGAGCTACCACTTCTAATGATCCAGGCAGAGAGATGGGAAAAATACAACAAAACAGTGTGCTGTATTAGCAGTGGGAAGGCAGCAATGACACAGAGACCCCATTGCTCACACTATGCACTCATTATCTGCTGTGACTCCAGGTCTTTAATATTAGCCTGCAATAAGCACACTGCAGGACCATCTGCTCTGCCAGCACGGGTCATACTGAGGGTGAGAGAGGCAGTCATGGAGAAGAAGGAAATATGCAAAGAAACCCATGCTGTTCGTAGAAATAACAATGTTCTTTCCCACCAAGGAAAGAGAATGATCATGAAAAGTGGAGTTCAATATATATATATATATATATATATAAGTGAGTGGGAAAATTTCCCTTGGGCACAGTAGAGGAGACGTAGCTCAACATAGTTAGAATCGATTACTAATTAACACGGTTAATGAGGGTAGTGACAGCTACTTCCTGTGGATGCTACTTCCAAAGCACCTCATGAGCACCAAGAGGGTCATGTCATGTCTGATTAAAGATGAACTGATATGCAAGACTTGAATACTGATATTTATAATTGGCCTCATATAATGACACACCAAAAAGAGGTCTTGACTTCTAACCTTTTCTTTTATCATCCAAACGAGGTCCTACAGAGTTACACCCCAGATCCTGTGTATTGGTTAAGTGTGCACAGTAGAAGTAGAGGCAGGCTAAGAATAGACTAGATGCTTTGAAGCACTAATCAATCTGGACAACGATGTCAAAGCAAGTCATCCACTGCCTAACTCAAGTGTGCACACACTCGAGCATGTTCTGGGGTAACTGCTATGTTATTCAACTAATTTCTCATTGGTTTAATAAAGCAAAATGTTCCCCGAAAATAAATAATACGCTCATGCATTCGTAAGTTGCCCTGCCTGTATATCTTACAGATACAATGTTACAACAAATGTTTTATGTATTGTGTATCCATGTTCTTGTCTTTTCAATTGTACTTCATACACAACATGTTCATTCAGTCATCTCCCAGTGGTGGAGATTCTTACCTTTTGTCTGATCTCCTCCTCCATTTTGACAGGGGATCCCAGCTCAGCCACCTGTTTAACTCCATCACTAGAAAAGCCACCGTATTCCCACAGCACATAATCCTTAGAGTGCGAGGCACCAATGAGGGCTGACCAGTGATTAGCACGACCTGGTGAAAAAAGATGTTAAAACATCATATTAGTTATTATTAAACATCCCATCCGTTCACAAAGTTATCTATCAAATGAATATCTAAGTAGTCTGTCATTACTTCTTCAATACCTTATGATCACTTACCTTTATGTGTTCCTTTGAGTATTGAATAACTACATAGTATTAAATGTAAAATTATGAATTCAACAGCCTTGGGACTAAAGTGTTCTTTTTGATTTTCTCGAATTAACATTTTTGTGCATGTATATATTTCTTTTATGCGGTCTTAATGATTAAAGAAACACCCTGTCCACACTTTTCTGTTAAGAATCTAATTGTAATGAGACTGAGGAAGTAATGTAGCACTACTTAGTAATTTTATGTTTGGCTTTACATGATAGGATACAAAAGGGTTAGTAATCAGTAGATAATGAAGTGGTAATAAAGGACTCCTTAGTAAATACTTGAGGGAACACATAAACAGTAACTAATATTTAAACAATTAGAATAAGTCGCTTCTCGTTGTGTGCTGGAGTTAACGCGGAAACCTCTTGAAAGTGGTCAAAGTGGTTGGAACAGCCTGTGTTCTCATCAGAAACTTCTTTATACTCCTTTAGGAATTATGAGGGAAATACGTATTAATGATAAATCAATAATGAAATCATTCTTGAATCGTTTCCTCACCCACCAGTTTCTTTATCACCTAATACAAAAACATGAATTATTAATTTATAACATTTGATAGGGAGTTATTTAATGACTAATGGTTCACTAACAGTTAGTCCTTCATTCGTTCCCTGTTGACTTCTTACATTGTTGTTTACCGTATTGTAAAATATTACCTAAAAAGATTGAATTAGCAGGTGTATAGTTTCCCATGCTGATCAGTTTGGTAGCTTATTCTGTTCATTGACAGACCCAAACCCTTTTGGTAGATCATATTTATTGATATTTCAGTTAAAAAATGACTCCTTGATGCTCAGGCCTACACCTAATTGCACCTGAATGTTATGCTCCCTCATAATCCTTCAATCCCCTCTATCTCTATCGCTCATTATAGAAAAAAGGAAAAGTGGTTCTGTACATGCACTTTACCTTTACGCAAACACATTTCAGCAGAGGTGGTATATATGATGATCCATCAGAGGTTATTGCACAGGCTGAAGCAAACTTTAGCCTCAAGTCTTTCGTGTAAGGCATAACAGCGCGTGGATTACAGCTGCACATAGTCTTGATAATTATGGGTCATTTTGCGGTATCCATACTACTCTTACTGTGCGCCTCAGTGGTCTGATATGTCTACCTCAACAGCACATATTGTTTTATATTCTCCCCCCACCCCGACAGCCATATTATCCCTCTGTCTTGTATGTTGTTTTATACAAAGACTGAAATGACACATACTGTAGCTACATCAACCTGAGAGCACTATAGTGGTTTTACAGCACCATCAACATGGAATGTTTATGTCCTGATGGGTCTGCCATCCCCGGTTTTCAAGATATAAACTTCACTTGCTTACGATAGGTCCTAACCAAACTGAAAGATAATTAGTATTATCTTTACATGCCCAACTTCTCCATGCGTCTGAACACTGTTACTGCTTATCTGGTCAAGGTGAGGATCCCTCAAATAGGTGATAAATCTTCCTCTAATCTGTATGCCCTAAATAGAGCCCTTACATTGCAGTTGTGTAAGTCACCCTTTTTGCCTTCTGCTGGTTTCTAGTGTGAGTCTGAACAAAGATGAATCATTCTGATAATCTAATCTCTGTGTTTGCAGTATCCCTGTAATAATAGATTGTGGAAACGTAAACAGTTCTTCATGACATTGCAGGCATGGCTAAAATGTATGTAGGACCACTTTTATATGAGCCATTTATTTGTCACGACTTGAACATGTATTTTTGTGAGATCTAAGTAGATATGTTTGTAATTATAGATAGATGGATGATATGTGTCCCCAGAGGGATTATTGTACAAGTTATCACAGGACTAGGGGTCCATGAGGGCCGATGTGCTTAGTGAGCAACACATTTTGATGGACAGTTATATTTATTTGATAAAAGGCATCCTTAAACTTGACCAACTTCCTACTTTGTGCTGAATATTACCTCTGACTTTTTTCACCATCTATGATTATTAATGCATTATCTGTAAATACCATTTTTTCACATGGTTAATAAATAAGTCTAGTACACACTTATTGATAATTATGTGATGAAGAGTTTTCTAAAAAAAGTTGAATAAATGGGAATTTGTTTTCCCATGTAGCATTATTTCTGCTAGTGCCTTATAAAGCTCCTATGACCTGTCCTTTCTGATTCTTTTAGAATGTTGCTTTACTGCAAGTTTAAATAGTCTTCTACTCAACTGGTTTACCGGTTAATGACTAATGATGACCATGATTGGAAAACACCTGCCGGAGGAACTTGGACTAGTAATGCCTATAGAATCTCTTAGGGCCTGATCTGGATGGTTTTTTTAGCAATGAAATGCCCTTTTTTTGTTATTGCTGCCAAAGGGTTTGTTAAATGCGTTTGTGCTCCAAGTGCGTTCCATTTATCTGCCTTACAGGGCCAGCACCTTGAGAGCTCCAACCTGAAAAATGGTGAACTGAGGGAAGGTTAGTGGTGGATGTTTCTCTTCAGGCTATTAGAGTATATCAAAATACATCCTGAGTCCTGCTACCTTAATGTTTAAAGTATGTGCATTAGGAGACAGTGTCAACATGGTTAAAGTGAGTTGAAGAGTTTTGGATGTTTGTAGTGTAAAAAAGTAGGACCAGGATAAAAAACAGATTATATATTATATTATTTTCAAGTATTGAAGCAGCGGTAAGTCGATTTTTTGTCTTGACTGTCAAGCTTATTGAAAAATATGAGTTAACCTATCATATGAGTTTGTCATTATAGCCCTTTATTAAATTCTAAGGCCATCTGGGACCCAAGCTTCCATAAATGTCTGGCCCTGGCAGGCAGGGAGTCATTGCAAAAACATAAATTGCTTTTAAATGATGCCTTTGGTTCACAGTTTTATATCCATCATCTCGTTCTTTTGCCTAAGGTTGAGGCTGTGTTAGTTTATTTCAAAGGAGGGTAAAACTTGAAGCCTATCTCCTCCTTTTAATGCAGTTTTAGTTGGGAATAGTGCTTGTGGTCAGTGTTGTGGCTGGTTTCTGAATTTTAATATGCTGAAATGTTTTTCATAAGCCTCAAAACATGGATGTACCATATGTCCGCAACTACTACTTTTGTTTGTGAGTGCATCATATAAAACCATACAGTATGAAACCAATATATATTTCTTCAAGGGGAGGAAGGTGTTGGGTTGACTAAGTTTACAGGAGATGGAAGGCAGCTGTTGTTTTGGTATAAATGTTTCCATTCTGAACTTCAATACATTGCTTCCCTTGTGTAAGAGAAAATGGTCTATGATAGGGTTCTTCTTTATTTGGTCCATAAATGAATTGTAAACTCTCTCTCTCTCTCTTTCTATTTCTCTATCTCCTACAACTCCCTTAAAACAAATGTGTTCCCAGTTTCCGAGCAGCTGCTGGCGCATGGGTTGAATTGCCATGCATTGTTGCATGACTTAAAATGGGGACAAAAGGGAGAAAGAACATAACAAACTGTCAAGGTTATCATGTTGGCAGTAAAAAAAGAAAAAGTCTAGTTGGCCTGTTTTATAGTGAGTTTTTGGTCTGGAATCTGTGTCACCACAATGGTCCTGTACTTTAAGGACATACCAATGTTAAAAATAGAAGGGTGACAACAAAAATTCAGGTAGCAAAAAAATGCTTTAATAACACTTGGACCAGAAGGGAAAAGTAAGAAAATATTTTGTTTGAAAAACACAAATGATAACAGATTATCAATTCTTTACGGTTTTGAAGCCAGTGAATAATATTGTTCTGTGCTAATCTTATAAAGTGAGTTATAAAAACTGGTTATCTAGGATATGACTTTGTGCAAGGAGAAATCAAACTGTAACATCCTAAGAGTGGAGAGGAGAGAGGAAACCGATACCGTGCAGCTTGCCCTATCCTCTTTAAGGTTGATCTATCTGTGAGGTGTGTGTTTGTGTGTCTGTGTGTGAGTGTGAGTCACACACCAACTACTCCCTCCTTAAGACAGTAAATTAAGGCTCCTTTCGATCTCAGAGTTTATCTTATTCCACTCTAATCAGTATATTGATCTGACCGGCGAGCGCCTGACTTAGACAAGAGAGCCAGTGTAATCCTTAAGATCATTCACATCCTGATAGTGTGGTTCAAGGTTATATACACGCACCCAACCACAGCAGCATACTGTAATAAACCACACACACCCCTTATAGAGCCACGTACCGAGGCTGAACTAGCCAATGTGTCGGACACATATCCTGATTCCTTTCTGGGGTACAGTGTATGTATAAGATTAAATGATAAGGCTACCAATATTGTAACTGTCAGCAAATCCTATTAAAAGACCAAAACTCCCTACGTTTTAGTCCATGTCTGACTTTCCTTACCAGTCTGTGGCACTGACCCCAATCCTCACCTTTCATATCAAAGATCTTTAAAAAATGGGTGTACTTTCACTTTTAAAAAGGACAAACCATTTCTTCACGGCTGTGCAATATGTTTTTTTTTAACAAAAGTTAACAAAGAGAAGTAAATAGTGCATTTTTTCAAGGTCTCATATTAGCTGCAGATGTGGTGGGCTAGTCAGTAGTTATAGCAGTAGAACAACATTTGTGTAATCAGCTGAGAATGAACTGCAAGACCTATGTTCATCATAATAAAGGGATTTTAACAAGTGGAATGGTGTTGCTTTTTAGAGAGCAATGGGGGTCTGTCATATGCCAATCTATGGAATAAACTATAACTTAGAAAAATGTATTAGCATGATCAATTCATTGAGAGTTAAAGTATTTAGCAGTAAAAAAAAAATAGAATTTGAGCAGAATGTGAATGTGTGATGGAGCTGAGGTCAGATGACAAAAAGCGTTGGAGTTTGTGCTTACGTGGGTAGTCTTTTGGATGACTCTTTTCTGACCAGTTCCCGAAGAAGGTGACTCTGTACTTTGCTGTTCCACAGGCACAACAGTTGAGCAGAGGTTTCTCTGTAACGTCTCCATACAGGGATTCTGTACAGTAATGATGGGAAAAGTAAAAGAGCCAGAGAGAAATACAGAAGACTGTGAGATAGAGAAATTGCTCATTAGTATAAAGCAGATGGGAGTTGTGCCCATCATATAGGAGATGGGTGGTTTAAGAAAGAGGGGAGCCGAAAGGAAGAAAAGAGACGGCATGAGAAATAGGGAGGATGTGCAGGATGGTTCTTTTGATCTGTTGCACAGTGTGACATCCAATGTCATGCACAGTCAGGGGGTCACACTCATTTACAATCATTCACATGCCGGAGCATAACGACAGAGAGGACTGCTCCTGCATCAAAATGGACAATAGAGTAAGAGAAAGACAAAAGGAGACTGTACAGTAAGTGGGAAGGGAAATGGGTAACAGCAGGGAGATTGAAGTAAAAAGAAATTGATGGTAAATTATTTATTCCATGTCAATAAAAGAAGCCTACCTTTCTCACACATTCGCTTCGTGAGAGAGCCTTCATCCTGGAAATAGATTATCCTCTTCTGCACAATGCTCGCCCTGCACAGAGAGAACAACATAGATAAAAGGCAATGAGAAGTGATTTTTGCCAAGGCCAGTTAAAAAGCAAGCATAACGGGCAAAACTATGAGTGACTACAGGAAAAGATAATGAAAATGTTCGAGGTACTGTGAGGTTTTAAAAATAAAGACCAGACAACTGGCAGCAGCGAATGTGGAAATGCTTGGCTTTTAAGATGTGAACAGTGAAGTGTAGCAGGTGGAACAGGTGCAGAGTTATTCATAATCATTTTCCTCACTTCTAAAAGCAGGTATCAAAGCCCACGGGGAAATTGCTAAATCAAGCTGTCTTTCAGACCCAGGCATTCAATGTCTCATACAAAGACCACAAAAAGTATGCATCAGCATTAAGATGCAAGTAAATCAAAATGAGAGGCTGAAAGGCTAAAGAAAGTAAGACATCAACTAAACTAGAAATGTCTGCATTTAAGAGACCCTGTGGCACTTTGTAAGAAACAGAAATGCACAGGCATACTATATAGTAGGCTACTTCGATAAGAACTGATTGACAGGCCGGCATTAACGCTCCTCAAAATGTGAGGCCTGGCAGAGGGGAGCGCTGTAGATTGAACTGTCTGAGAGGCTTGTTCTACCCGGTGGTGGAGAACACAGGTCTGAGAGGGGCCTTGACATGCAAATCAGCCTCAAACTAATCTTTTCAGAGGCCAATAGACTTGAGAAAACAACAACAGAAAACAAGCCTTCAGGCATTTAACTTCCTCACAATCACCAGCCTTGGCTGCAGGCAGGTTTCCATGGGGATAAAGCCCAACAATGAGATGCTGGATGGAGGTGCTGGGGGGGTTAAGGTCTGATCCAGATGGACCCCGTCCAGCTGGACTGTTTTGATACCATTTATTCTGGGGTATCAAACTAAGCTGAGCTGCTCCATTGAGCTGAGGTGATCCCAGAACCAGATCCTCAATGGGAGAAAACACATAAACCTAGATAATGACAGAAATCTGATATTCATTCACCAGAAAAATCTGTTAAACCTCACAAAATGTATTAAACAATTGTATAGAGTCATTTACTGATATGAATAAACTGTTCACATTAATGGACCCTTTACATTTCTTCAAGTTGGCTTTTAAAATACCTATTAATACCCATATATTTATTAACTACAAATGTACAAAAATATACAATTTATTTAAATATCAATGGACCTCAATGCATGAATTTGGATCCGGAAACTCTCTAACTTGTACTGTTATGCTCACAAGTATGCTAAAATCACATTGTCTATTCTTTTATCATTTTTAAGCTTACATTACAGTTTGAGTGTGAGCCTTGTGTGTGAGCGATATCTACCAACAACTAAAATAACCAAGGATCAAAGAGCAAAAGGTCATTCTTCTAAAAAATTGAAGAAAAAAGAGGTAATCATTGGAAGTCTTCCATTTCAAACTAACATGTTCGAGTCAGGTCACATCCTGCTCACTGAGAGCAGGAACATGATGGCAAGTCTGCCTCGGGATGAGAGGCTGTTCAGGTAATAAATCACACAATAAGGTCTCATACTCTCTACTGTCTCCTGATAACCCTCATCAGAATACTGTCTTACATACACCACTACATACATGAAGGCCGTATATATGAGATATTGTGTGTGAGAGATGGATCAAATTGATACACATATTGAAATATCATTTTCTTGCAGGCGTTTATACCAAGAAGATGAGAAAGAAAAAGAAACTGAAAACTCTGTTCTTTTTAACCCCCCAAAGAAAATGTAAGGATAAGTATTCGTCCTCAAACCATCTTGAGTTAAATAACCCTTTTTGTTAATCCCTTCAACATGCTACTATTCTCCAACTCATGCAACATTTTTCCGTATCGCAGAAAATCACAGAAAATCAAAGAAAATCACAGAAAATCGAAGAAAATCACAGAAACAAATACCATTTATTCTTCCACATACTGTACAGTACATCGACACTTCAGTCACTTGGTCTTATACACATTAACCTCATCCACACACACTTTTATTCTCGCACATACAGTACACTATCATATCATTTCTCTCAGTATTTTCAATCTCACTTAACACCCCATAATTCATTCCCATACAAAAATCATTCTTTCTCTCATGCATACTATGAGTATAATGGTGTATCTCAGAGATCACGATGGTGTGTGAAAGATCAAGCATGATTTATAGCCAAAACGGACTTTCATAACGTGGGTGAAATGATTGAAGGTAAGCGACACCAGCAGCACATCTCTAATTGTTCACACTTTAATTCAATCTCACCCCAATTTCACATATCTTCCTGAGAGAGAGGAGCACACTCTGCTTGATTGTCTGGCCGGTCCGGGAAAGTGGGCAAGCAGTGAGGCAGAGTAATGCTTATTTAACATCCAATTTAAATTCTATCTCACTTTGCCGGATCCACACCACCACCGATCCCAATCACCCTAAAAGTGCACTGATTTGAATGTGTGTGTGGGAGGGAGGGAGGGAGGGAGGGAGTGAATATGCATTCTTGAGAGCTTAAAAAAAGAGACTTAGAGTAAAGGCTGAAAGGAAGGAGAGTGAGAAAGAAGAAAAAGGAAAAGGGCAAGATAGAGTTTGCCTTTCTATGGTTATGTATCCAACTGCTTGAATATCTGTAAAATAAGATAAATTTATTATTATTTTTGTTCTATGTGAAGATCTACAGCCAGAGATTAAGATTACTATTTTAAGTATCTGCTGCTACAAGCATAACTTTCAGAAAGGAACTATTTAGAGATACTACACAAATGTACTGCACAAAGCAAATTCACATTTCATTTCTGTGGGTCTGCGTGACTATAGTGGCCTCTCTAAATCCTCCTTGATCTGTCCTATCGCTGTGCTGATGAGATTAACAGAATTTGACAACTGCATGTGGTTTTGACATTATGATCACTGATACACTGTCTCACTCAGACAGCCCATCAGAACACATCGCACTACCCTCCATATTGCACGCCAGAGGCGGATGACAAATAAATTGCTTCCTATCCACAAATGGAAAGATAAAAGATAGTGGGCAACTTCAATGGCAACTGTAATATATAGATTACATTTAGATGTTATTTACTCTGCCTCCAACCATAAGGAGTGACAATAATAATAACTCCTGACTCGAGTTCTACTCCCTTAACTGCAGGTCATGTTTGATTTCATCACAAAGTCCCCCAAATGAGAAAAATGGAAGCCAGTTATTTTCATTCCAATTAGACATAAAGCTAAACATTTGATTAAGAAAACAATTGGCTGAAAAGATAGACAAAATCCCTCTTTTCTAAAACTTGCTGTGAGGGAGATCTGATAGTGTATGAGAACACTGTGAACAACAATTAGTGGAAGTGAGATTGGGACATTTACAAGGACCCAATAAAATAAAAGCATTTAGCACTCACTTATCTACAATTTCCAATCAGCAGTAGAAAAGCCCTACTACAAACAGATAATGATTAGGAAACAGCACTAAAAAGCAATCATTTAATGATTTCTTCAGGTTGATTAGTTTTGTCTGTTGTGCCTCTTACTAGCGTTGGGTTGCACAGCCAGTTTAATTTTCTGGTTTCCAGTTGGCAGAACCTTGATTTATTGAACTAAGAGCCTTAACACGAGAACCGCCAGAGGTCGCTGTATACCTAAAACCGCCAACGGGTAAAATGTACCCCCTATAGATTTTCAAGGTACAATGTTCTTTTATTTATCTTACAGAACAGTGAGTTTTGATCGCACAGGGATTAAATTTATACCAATAGAATCTGTGGACTCTCAGCTTTTCATATGATATAGGTTGTGCAGATAGCATGAAGTTTAAAATATCGCTAAGAGTGCTGATTTAAACGCTTGGTTAGACCTTTGTTTTGTTAAGGTACAAATCCCTCTATCGATATATCTGTAATGTTCTGTTATATGAACATATAATTGTCTACATAAATAGACTACTTCTCTCATTCCGAGTGTCCATCTTTATTCAACTGGCACGTAACCTGCACACATGCACTAGGTCCTCAACGTGAGCTCAGTCATCCAAGATCTTGTATTCTCCAAGATGTTAGACTATCAATATATCTATCTATCTATCTATCTCTCTCTCTCTCTCTCTCTCTCTATCTATAAGGAACCGCAGTAGACAAAAGGCGTTGCTATAGCAACACGTCATGTTTACGCTGCATTTTCTATGAGGTAAATATTACCCGCTGGCGGATATAGGTATAAATGGCAATTATTTGGGCGATTTTTTCAATCTGACTTCATATTGACAATTGTTAACAACAGAGGGTGCTACATAACACACTTTCAGGAAAAGTCACGGACTGGGAGACGTTAATATGTTATTGAACAAAAGTTACATACAATCAAAAAACAGCTGCGGGTAAAATTTACCCGTTGGCGGTTCGAGTGTTAAACACAGTATTTTAAGTTACATGCAACTCCATGTAGCCTTTTGACGTATTATCAGCAATGCCACTGAGTAGATTTAGGCTTTGATTTCCAGATTCTGTACACTCACTCATACACATTAGCCTTACTTACACACACTACTATTCTCTGTCACATACATCTCTCTCAGTTTCCCTTAGCATGATGTTGTTAGTGCAGGGGTAAGTTCCACAAAAACACCCAGGAGAACATTGAGCGATATCAAATATATATATTTTGTTAAAACAAGAGTGGCGGAGACCGTTATGAAAAAAAAACCTGGCCTGATTTGTTTTTAGCATATAAGAAAGCTTAAAATAACTGGATTAGATGGTAAGCTTTTCAAAGTCAGAGCTCTGAGTTCAGGAGTTAAAACGAGCATCCTTGCCTGACCCTATCATCACGGACCAATCTTAGAAAAAACCAGACCACAAAGCTCAGTCTTTCCATCTAAAGGACAGCAACTGCCCGTCAATTATACTCCAGCAAACCACTCGGGAGTCTTGGGACAACATTTGAGTCACAGAAGCGTTTTCACAGAAACACACATGCCACACACACATGCCACACACACACTTTGAATTGCATGGCCAGATGTTGTTTTTAAATAACTATTCATTTTTGTAAAGCACCTTGAATTGCCTTGTGTTGAACGGTGCTATATAAATAAACTTGCCTTGCCTTGCCTTGCCTTGCCTTGCCTTGCCTTGCCTTGCCTTGCCTTGCCTTGCCTTGCCTTGCCTTGCCTTACATGCATGCACACTGACCAATATATTTTAGGATACAACATGATTTAAAAACAAATATTACCCCTGCCTATAGTGCTAATGAAAATGTCCCCTCTGATATTATCTATAATATTAGCAAACATTTCACATTAGTATGATTCCTTCAGTGCAGACAACACAATAAGCACTCTTGTTTCCCTGTGGGTATAGGCTGCACCATAACACAGTCATAGAGCGTAGTGTACTAAGTATGTCTTTCCTTCCTTATTGTTTACAGGGAAAAAACACACTTGTCAGTTACATGGAGGAGTTAAATCTCCTAATTAGACTTAATTTAGACTTGGGTGTTGCGGCACTGAGGTATACAAAAGCCTTTTCATCTTTACGCTAGAAGGTGATGGAAAAATCTACGGAAAATACCCACTCCCACCCTGTGATCATGATTTTCAGAAGCTTCTCTTTTGAACTCTCACATTCTCCCTCCCCTATTGTCTGTGCCCTAGTATTACTACATCACCATTTCAGCACTTTCATGCATCTCTTTCGAGGCTGTACGCTCACTCGCACTTTCAACTTTGCCGCTCTATCCTTGTGCTTAATTCAGTACAATTCTGCCACCATCCCACTCGACTCTATGAGGACAGCAGAAGTATCGTACGACATGATGTGCTGTGATAAGACAAAGACAACACCACAGTGGAGATGAAAACGAGGAGACGGATAAAAGAGAAGAAGAGGTGAGAGCGAGGAGCAGAAAGAAGGGATTTTACAGTGAGAGAGTTTATGTGAGATCTGAGAAGTTATTGAGAAGGCAAGTCATGAAGATACTCCTGAAAGATAAGGTCACAAATAGAAAAACATGTGTTTCTGTCACATTATAACATGCATTATTAAATAAGAAATTCAACCTTTTAATCTTCCCTTTGTTCGAGGAACAGCAGATAAATAATGCATTGATCAAAAGGCCTTGTGACTCACAGTCCCTTAGTGCCTCTCCACCTCGTGTACTGTCATTATTTCCCCACAGCACTGGATTAATGAATGGATTTCTACCGTCATCGGTCTTCAGCTGAACATGACTACTCTTCTGTGTCCAAGCAAGCCCAGAGAACACAAAGCAGCAGGGTTGATCCATGTCAATCATCCGTATGACTAATAAAGGTAATGAATAGTTTATGAAGCCAAGTGGGAATGGAAAGACATTCTGTATTTAACTCTGATTAGCTTAGGGGAAGGGATGTAATGAAACTGATTTACTCTACATGTGGAATTTGATTTATGCTGGTAGCGCAGCTCGCAATCCCAGAGAGCACTTATACTTTAGATTAAATAATTAAAACTTAAATGTAACTATGTATGACATGTTTGAATATAAGCAGATAACCAATGTAGAAACATTTAGTTGAAAATGTTGAAAATGAAAAGTAACTCTCACTATCAATATACACTCCCACCCAGTTTAATAAGTAAACCTATAGCTAAAATCATTGAAGTCCAATGAAAAAGTCTTGCAATAAATCAGGATGATCATTTAGGGAGATGTAGCTTGTTGCGTCGTCGAGCCGTTTGATTTGGAGGGAGATTGTTATTTAGTCTACGCTTGTTGATATAAACATGCTACCATATAATATATTCCTATAATCAAAAATTGAAGAACACAAAATGTTTTGGCTTCCTTCAAAGTGGAAACAAAACACATGTATCGAAAAGTATGCCTTGAAAATGTTCAGCAAGAGTTCAACGTATCATATCATATTGGGAGCGGATGTGGCGCAGTGGGCTAGTGCCAATTAATTATTATTAATATAATTATCAAAACTGCCCTCTTCTAGACTAAAAGTTAGTTTTTCTCCCTTAATCTGTAAGCAGTAATGCAGGGGGAAATACATGACATCAACAAAATAAATGTCGATAGAAAGGTGCAGCCCCACTCTCCACTTTACCGGACCTCTCAAAGCATAATGAATAACAGTCCAGCGTGTCTGGGGACCTGTTAAACTGAAAGTGAGGTCTTCCAGCAGGACTGTGTAGTGAACAACTTAGTGTGCGAACAGAGGATTTCTGCACATCATCAGTTGTGGTTTACATACTTAATGGAGAGACAGCCAGAGCCACTGGGGGGCGCAGTCCAGAACACCTGGATGCTGGTGCGTCTGCGAGGGGTGCTCTCTGTCACAGCAGGGGGGCAGTTGGTCATGAACTGAGTTTCCTCCTCATCAATTATCTGTAAATGCACACACACACAGATATTAGTGATTAAAAAAATGTCCTCAGACAAGACTCCAAAAGCACTTTGTACATCAGCATGTGATGGAGTTGGACCATTTTACATACATTTCCTAAAACAGAAACAAAATTAGCAGCTTGAAATGACATTCATTTTACATCTTCAGGACACATTGATAGATTTAACGCAAAATGATCTCAAAATGCATAACATGACAGCTGTTGTACAAAGCTATTGTGTTGAAATGAATATAATCCTCAGTACTGTTTCAAACGCAAGTTGGGGTTGTTAGAGCAGGGATGGGCAACTTTGATGGTGGTGGGGGCCACATAATTGATTTACTGGCCACCAGGGGGCGGCAGATTCACTTGGAACACACACCCACACAAATTCCATGTATTGTATGTAATTATTAACAAATATACTAAGTCTGACATCTTCATTGACATTTTACAATCTTTCAGGGAACATCCTCTAATAAGTTCACTAAACTAATATCAGTTCATATAAATGTTATTTAATTTTTACAAGTGGCATGTTTTGAACATGGTTATTTAACAGTGGAATAAAACTATTTTAAACTATTGGAAAGCACGGAAAATGTGTGTGCATTGAGATTAACCATTAAGATGAGTCATGAACACTAACCCAGACATTAGCTGTCTAACTTGAACCTAAGACACTTGTAGCCTGTCTCTACATTCCACAATAAGGGGAATGTCAACACAGACACCTGTCAACCCGCACTCTGCTGTTCCTCAGCGCCGCTCCCTCTCCCTCCCGCTGAAATTATGAATGAAAAGCGTATAGTAATCATAGATAACACGGCAGGGTCTGTGACAGTTTGTTTTCATCTGATTTCAAATGAACAAAGTCTTGGTATTTAGAATATTAAACTTGGTTCGCCAAATTCAGATGATAAATACATCTTTTAAGCTTGTAAAGGCATAATTACAAGCGGCAACTTAACGTCACAGCAGGCATAACAACAGCCGGTGTTTCTTGTGAGTGTTTCCCCGGGAAACAAACACAATAGAGAGACGAAGTCCCTCCCCTTCTGGTGGACCTCCGTGGGACCTTATTTCGGAAAAATTATGTATTGAAGTCAATGGCGAGAGAAAGATTATCTTTCGATCCC